AATTCAGGAATACAGTAAGTGGCCATGTTCATAGTTGATGTTAAATGTTTTTATATTTTGTTTTTATATAGTCTATTTTTATGATAAGAGCTTCAGTTATCTTCAGACGTATTTTGCAGTTAGAATTGCATATCATATTTATATTCACGACAAATATGATATAGGGGAAGACATCTACATAATTACGACATCTACATGATTAATACATAATTATTTATTCATCGAGAAAATAGTTCCTATAAAACATTTGAATTCATAAATTATAGGGTCTTATGTAGTTTTCAATTTGCAGGGGAATTGTTGATGATGATAAACTTGACGTGTTTTAATTTTTTTTGGAACAAATACTTAACTTAATACTTTTAGTTTGTTCAACTCAAATGATAGATATTTTTTATAACATTTCATAAACTTAGCAAATTCAGTGTTCTATTTCGTTCTGTTTCAGCGAAAAGTGCGGGACGCTGAACCCCACCCTAGACACGTCTCAAAGAACCCTAAACAAGAAAAAAATTTGGGTTACTAGTACACACAAATGACAATGATTAAACTTCGAAAAACATAAGGAAAATTAATTACTTTTAATAATATGTGGAAATAAGCACACGTTTCCTGATGAAGATCACAAGAGCGGAAACCCGTGTAGCAAAAACATGGAAAATAATGTCTAATATATATTGAAATAATTCATATTATAAGCAAAGACGTTTGCGGTTTCTCCCTTCTCTTTAAAATATACACTTTTCTCTCGTTGGAGCAACTATAAACTCTGCCTTATATATATATATATATATATAATTTACCAAAAATTTCAGATAGTCTGAAGTATATTTATGAGCGTTCTTAAATTTATAATTCAGAAAAGTAAAAGTAAAATCCATACATAGGCCTTGATAAAGGTCTATCATGGGACGAAATGTATCGGCTAAGGTAAGTTCCTTTTGTCTTTATATATTTATATATATATATATATATATATATATATATATATATATATATATATATATATATAAAACTAAAACATAAATACTTGAAAATGCATCTGAATACTGAAAATGAAGAAATGACAACAACCACATTTCCCATGTCATTTATGATGGATAACAAGATCCGTATTTAGACATTGGGCAATTTTTATATAAATAATTAAACCTATTTAAATTTATATTTAAATATTTGAATATATTTAAATTTATATTTAAATACGTGTCTAAAAAACAAAAATGCTGCAAAAATGTAAATTTAAACAAAGCTATATATATATATATATATATATATATATATATATATATATATATATATATAATATATTTATATATTATATATATAATATATTTATATAAAAATATGACTACAACGCTACATAGGAGTTCGCATGTTTCAAAAACAAGAGCCGAAAACTTCAATATAATTATTTGAATTAAATTGAATTAAATATATATATATATATATATATATATATATATATATATATATATATATATATATATATATTTAATCCTAAGGAATCAGGAAAACCTACCTAGGTTTCACGTAAACGGATCTTCAGGTTTTACCCTGAAGATTCGTTTAAATTTGCCTGGCTCCTTAGGATTAACTTAGGTTTAACTCTACTTAGTGTAGTGAACACTTTACGGAATTGTCTTTTTACTCGTTTTGTTTTTTGTTTTTTTTTTTCTTTGGAGCTTAAACACTGGACGATTGATTTCGCCTTCTTTTAATCGTCTTGGTTCTTTCTTTTATTATTCCCCATTTTTCCTCGGATACCGATTTGTTGTACTGCAAGTTGAGCTATTCGAGGGTTTTCCAAACGAGTACCACCAGTTATATATATATATATATATATATATATATATATATATCTTCATCAGATGGATATAGATCTAGTTAAAAAAAAAACATTTCTGAACTGAACCCTTTATTTAATCTACATGCGCTATAGTGTGAGACGTTTGTAAAAACTGAAGATCTGTAAAATAATGGAATTTATAACGAATCCGATGAATGTCTTTTGTTTTTGTATAGCAATCAAGTAGAATCTATTTGCTAATTGAATTCATTTCTCTTGCTTTAAGTCGTCTCTTCATATGAGGAAATTGTCCGCATTCACTGTCATATAGGATGTTTGATATCGCATAGTAATTCAGCACTCTTTTCTTTGTTCCTAACCAAATTTTCCTGTTTCTTAATAATTTGCTTAGTTTTTGGAAGGCGTATTTCCCTATTCTAATTCACCTTAAATTTACTTAATCAAAAGTAACTCTCTGTTACACACTGTGTATTTTTGTCCATTAGGTTCTCCATTTTACTCTTGGGCGCATATTAGATTTCCATGAATTACAAACACTCGTTTGATTCAATCAGACTTTGGTCTTTCGATGAAATGGAAGAAATCTTTCCTTTATCTTTACTTTAATTAAATTAATTGTTTAATTTATTAAATTTTCCTTTTAACAATTATAATTTGGTTTCAGTTTTCATTTATTATAGCCATTGTTTACAGACACTGTTTTGGAATACAGGATAAGCTCATATTTTACTTCAACCATTTTAATTACTTTATTACTCTTATACTTTAAGTGCCATGTCCCCTGAGGACTAAGGTGATCATGGCTCTCCACAACTTCCTATCCTTTGTATCTCTTAATAAATTTTTATCTTTCTGCTATTTCTCCTAAACACTTTTCCGACATTCATTCACTCAATCTCACGAATTATGTTACGATTTGTTTCCTTGTGTCCTTTTTGACTTCAATCTGTCCTGTGAGTATTAGATTTTCTAAACCTCTTTCCTCATTATGTACTATGCACATTTCAACTGTCTTTTCCTGGTTTTAAATATCACTTTCCTTTTTCTTTTCTATTTTCTCTAAAACTTCGCCACTTGCCATGTGTTCGGTCAATACTCAGTATCCTTCTGTAGAATCACGTTTCTGTTGTTTCAAGTATCTTTATGTGGGAGAAAAAAAATATCAATTTGATTTGTAATTGACGAAAAAAAGCACTCACCGACATACAGGAGGAAAGATATAGCTTAATAGTTTAATACACTTTTCCTTGTTTCTAGCTAATTTTTTTCTTTTTCTTAGTACTCTGCTTAGCTTTTGGAAAGCATCTTTGGCTATACAAATACAATTTGGATTTCAGTGTCACACTTTCACACTTTCAGTCTTCTGTTAAAACAAATCCTGGATGCTTAAAGTTTGTACTTGCTAACTGATCTTATTTCTTTATTTCTCTCTCTATCTCTCTCTCTCTCTGTCTCTGTCTCTCTCTCTCTATACACACACACACACACACACACACACACACACACACACACACACATACACAACAATAATAGTCAGCTAAGGTAATATGTGCTGGCTAGGAACTGGCGTATCCTGCAGCATTGTCTGACCTCAGGTTTGCTCACCGGAAGAAACCTTCCTATGCGGGATATAGCACTGCAAGAACCCTGATATTATGCGTCAGTTCATCAGAGCCGCCACTCTAGACGGTACCCAAAATTTCTGATTCCAACTTACCAGTCAGGGAGCAGCAACAAGAAAACTGCCAACCCGGTAAACTTCTTAGAGGCGACAGGCGGTTTCATGCTAGACGCGGGTGGGGGTGCGGTGAGTATCTATTTGTTAGGTGGCCTAACGATTGCGTCTAGCATGAAACAGCCTGTCGCCTCAAAGTGTTGACTTCAATGTTCACTTTTATATATATATATATATATATATATATATATATATATATATATATATATATATATATATGAACTTTATATCAATTCTTTATTAGCTTCCGAGTCTTATCTATGATTAATTAATAATGAACATGTCATTTTCGTTTATGATCGATTTCATCATGATTCTTCTGTTAATCTTGGAAATAAATTATATATTCATATTGCTCAAAGTACAGGCCAGCAATATTATAAAAACCTCGGAGAATACCATATTTTAATCATATCTAAGATACAACGGTTCAAAGCTTAATCTAACAAAAGGATAATTTTGGTGTTACATCCGGTACACACACACACACACACACACACAAAGATACATTCACAGGCCCAAGTATATACCAAATATCTTAGCCGTTTTTGTATACTTGTACATATATGTACATATATACATGCCCACGAATATATAAACGTGCATACACACAAACACACACACACACTATATATATATATGTATGTATATATAACCCATCTAAAAATAGTTACAAATTACATTCATGAATTAGATTCAAACTGATAAAGATGTTACCTTAACAGTCATTTACAATATTAATAGATTACTATCAGTAAACTGTTATATTTTAAAAAATTATTTTAATGTGTTCTCTATGAATGTGTTAATAAATACAGTATTTAACTTATATTAAATCTCTAAATTATTTGTAAATGAGTTAAATATTTAAATTGCTAGCAAACATCAAATTAATTTCTTCGTGTTTTTTTGAACATTTAAATTACTATTACATTAGAATTTTAAAGTTAAAAATATACCACCCCTCTTCTTCCTACGTAAAACCTAATTACAGCTTCTTTCTCTTTACTCCCCCCTTCTTTCTTTTTTCTTTTTCTCTCTTCTCCCCTCCCATTTCAATATATCAGTTCCGTTAGGTTAAACGATTAAATTGGTTAAGGTCTGGTCCCTCCTCCCCCAATACTAAGTATGATTGAAAGAAATATTAAAATAAACCCTCTCTAAACTCGACCATGTCTTTCACACCACACCTCGCTACCCTCTCTGTTAACTTACATAAACTTAATACTACCCGTCAAAAGTGAGAATTTTCATTTCATCTTTCGTTTCATTTTTTGGAAGTGTTATCTGATTATCCAGCTTCCTTTAAAAGGGCTCTGGTGAAATAAATTATTATAATGGAACCTTACATGTCTTCTTTGGACAAATTTCGGTTCTATTTGAAAGGCAACAATGTAAAGCCAGCGCCACCAACCTCTGTCGAACAGACTACACCCGTCCCACGGCACCCACCACCCAGAGGACAAATATCCCTGCTCCCGCAACCAGTTCCCGTCCCCACCGCCACCACGAGCCCCTAGAAACCTCGAACCGTGGCTCACTACAATCCCCTGCACTCCGCTCGCGCAACCGCAGCCCAAATTGACGGTGCTTCTACCAAACAAACCCGCCAAAATAGAACCTCTCGGGAAATGCCTATCCCGCAGATGGAAAAACATAGGGCCGATCCCGGCCCTCAAAAGGACGACACCTAAAGTGGGGGCCGAAAACCAAATCACGCCTCCGCACTCCCTCCACTGATAGGTCCAGCCTATGTTTGGAAATGCAGACTAGCAGTGGCTTCGGAGGGGTGTTCATTGGTTGCACAAGTGGCACCTACAGGGAGAGGTTTTGCCTCCGTGCTGCCTCGTTTGGGCTGAGGAGCCGCAGGCGTGGTGCGGGGCTAACGGAGTGTGTCTGGAGCTGCGTTAGGGGTCCATTTGTGAAGTGCAGGTTGGTTTGAGGGGTCTACCCCATGAGGCTCCGTTGTGGGTGCTGCCGTCTGTGTCGGTGGAGGGGTTGGCGGTGGCTTGTACAGACAGGTGGGTGTTGCTCGGTTAAATGACTGAAGCATTAGCCGGATGCAAGCACTTACGCAAATTACGAGCCTGGATGAATGTTTTTCCCTATTTTTTTTCTTCGACTTCCTCACTTCTTAGTCCCAATCCCACCAATACCATCCACCTCCTGGTGTTCTGCCCCTTCCCTTCTAAGTCCAACTCCCACCAGTACCATCCACCTTCCGCTGTTTTATGAGTTTGTTGTAGAGTTCACTATAGGGCAGCTTTTTCAGCAGGTCTGAGGAGATCTAGCGATCGAAACCCGGGTAGCATGGTTGTGAGAGATTTTCTTCCAATGCATGTCGCTCTGCATTTTATAGCCTGCATCGAGCATTTTTGAGTGTCTACGCCTTTCTAGGTGACCCCTTTTTTGTTTTTTATTTATTTTTGGTCTCCTATTATAATACATTTTAAATTTTTATATGTACATTTTTTATATTTTTATTTCATATTTTAAATAATTATATATATATATATATATATATATATATATATATACATAGACAGACTGTTTCGCTGGATTTTTTAACACAAGGTATAAGAATTACCGGCTACTCAACTCATAGCGAAGAGCTTTTAGCGTTAATTAGTACCTGCCAACAAATTCCCTTTCAAAGTGTTTAACCTACAAGAGGGTGGTATGTAGTCATCCAAAGACAGACTGTTTCGCTGTATCACAGCTCATCAGTGTGACTAGACATTCGATTGCTTCAAGGTGGGGTCGAAACCCGACTGATTTGACAGCAGTCGAAGTCTTTTACCCTTTTGGTTCTCAGCGCAGGCAACGGAGAAAGGTAATTTTTACCAAATTATATAGGAGATACTACCGGCTACCAATTCATTTTTTTTAGCTTATACATACATACATACACACACACACACACACACACACACACACACACACATATATATATATATATATATATATATATATATATATATATATATATATATATATATATACACCCGACGAATTCGACGAATTAGGGTCAAGCAGATTGATTCTCAGGAAACCGACAGCCCGATAACAGCACATGAGATTTGATTATAGTGGTGAAGGTTTTGTTCAGGAGCATCCACACTTTTGAAGGGCCGAATACAAAGACCTGGTGCACTAAGAGCCACAAGATCCCCAAATGACACTACGCAGGTTTTGAATTCAGAGTTGACCTTCTCCTAGACCAGTTGCCATCCAAGGCTATAGAACCTAGTCTGTCCTGCTGGAGGGAGAAGAAGAGGATTAACACCTTTCCCAACCCGCTATGCATTACTCCACCGTTCCCCCCCTCCTCTCTCTCTCTCTCTCTCTCTCTATATATATATATATATATATATATATATATATATATATATATATATATATATAACAAGTAGTGTTGACTCATACGTGCTACTTATTTGTTAAAGTTGGGTTGAGAGATCAGATTATTGACCTTCGTTACACTATTTCAGTGAATTACTGTGCGCGATAGATGTGTCAGTAGATTTTCGATGTTGACAATGGTAGTCTAATGAACTTTACTCGATCTATAAACCAGATTCTTGACGGATGTGCAGTCCAGACGCTTGCCAACATTGAAGCCTTACAAAGGATAAACTTTTAGATGGCACAGAATTCTCTATTTATTCAAAAACCTGCTACAAAATGTGATAAGCTATGGAAATGTCTTCACCTGAGCCAACGTTTAGTCTGTAGAAAACGTTCCCCAAAACGTTCTGTTTAAGCTGACAATTATAAAAAATTTGCAGTAGTTTAAAGTGACCGAAGACTTTTTGCACGGTTATTTTTGATCGGTTGCCTCGCATCTTTTCTTAGAGCTCTTGCTAGAAAATATGGGAAGTAGATCAGATGATGACTACAGTAAGGCCAATATTTCATCTCTCTTTTTAATCATTTCGACTCAATCCAGGCGATAATCTCCCTAATACGTAATCTAACGCGAAAGTAAAAGTGAGAACCATAAAAGAACATGAATTAAGAAGATAAAATATGGCTGTATTTAATTTTTTCAAATCAAGTAGTTGGAAGGGAGTTCCACAAGCGGAAAGTGCTAGAGAAAAAACTATTATCATATAATATAGGTTTTACATCTAGCAAGTTTTACATTGAAATTATGAGACCTAATTGCCAGTCGAGTATTTTGTATAAATTAGGAAAATCTCGGTAACAAATAAGAAAGTTCATCAGAACAATTATCATGAAAATATTTATGGAAAAGGTAAAGGGAAGCCGTGATGCCAAGTCTGGATAAACATTGCAGATTCTTCTTTGGATTTTTATCAAGAATCTCTAAATACGTAGCAGAAGCACTAGAAAAGTTGTGATAGCAACGCTTAGAATTTCTACTACTTCTACACAATACAGCTTAGAGCAAATACATAGAAAAATATACTGGAAAGAAACCTTTTGAAAATGGCTAATGAACTGGTTAAAAGCACTTGGAACAATAACCACGAGGAATAGTTTCTACACTCTTAGTCCTCATAAAAGAAAACATGTAAGATCACTTAAAAAAAACTAAATAAAAAAACCTTCAATGAAACATATTCGTTGAACCAAAACATTACAACTTGGGGGGGGGGGCTAAAAAAGCTGGCACCAATGCATATTTACAATGAAAAAGATCTTATTTCCAAAAGTAAACAAAATATTGTCAATAATGAAAGCCTCTCACAAAGATGAATGCTCATCAGAACAATTGCCATGAAAATACTTACAGAAAAGTAAGAAGGAAGCAATATTGTGGCTTAAATTCATAAAGTCTAGATAACAAAGATAAAAGCGATATTTATTTCCGTAGAATATAGAAAATGTGACACAAGGCCAAAGGGGGCGATTGGGGAAGGCCGGTATTCAACTGTCCTACACTTAACTTAGCTTGCCATAATCACTGACTCAAACGTATTCTTTGCAACAAAACACAACAGTCTTACCATTCTTAGCTATTCATCACAATACCACAATTTCTCTATGTAATCATAACTAGTACAATTCTTTTTTCTTTTTCTTTTTTTGGTGGGGGGATAAAAATAACAACTTTAAAAAAGCTAACCCCAATGCATATTTACAATGTAAAAGATCTTATTTCTAAAAGTAAACAAAATAATGTCAATAATAAAAACCTCTCACACAGCTAAATTCTCATCAGAACAATTACCATAAAAATATTTATAGAAAAAGCTGAGAGAAGCTATGTTACGGCGGCGGTAAATATATTGAAGCCGAAATGCAGGCTTTGGAATAACAACGTTGCAGATTGGATTTTATATGACCCTATATGTATATAGTAGAACCACCAGAGAAAATCAGGCAGTAATATTCAATCCACGGATGAATGTTGGGTCTATAAACGTGTAAGATCATTTCTGGCGGAAAAAATAGTCTAGCATGCCATAGTTGAAACACTTTTCTAGTAGCAGACTTAACAACTGATTTAATATAATCGTTCTATTTTAGGTCAGTGAAAAATTTGAGACCAAGTAGGCGCATGAGTTGCTTTCCTGGAGGTTAGCATCAGCCATGCGAATGGAAGACTAAAAGGGTTTTCTAAGATGACTAAAAGAGAGTATTATCGTTTTGATGACTTTAAGATTAACAAGCCATTTATTGACCCAGTTTAAACCAGATTGAAGGACATGTTTTAGATCACCAACCCATGTAATTTTAAGAAGCCTGCCAGGCATAGTATTTAGACAGGTTTAAATAGTTGTGCCATCAGCATAAATACCATGTCGAGAATTGATGCCATCCTGAAGATCGTTGATGAAAATAAGGACCAAAATAGGTCCAAAAATAGAGCCCTGGAGCACAACAGCATTAATGCAAACAGATTTAGAAGATTGGCCGTCCAAGACAAATTTCAATGCAAGATTTGTTAAGAAAGATTTAAATAAATCAAAACTTTGGTCATAAACAGCATAGACTCTGAAATTGTAAAGAAAACCATCATGCCAAACCCTATCAAATACATTCAAGATATCTAAAGCAATAGCCCGAGTTTGCGCTTTTCTCATATGAAGATTAACGCGCTCTTTCAGCACAAACTTTCAACACATGCGCAGACGAACTAGACAATCGGAAGACATTATTTGTCTGAAAGAAAACTGTAGAAAAAGTATGTGAATCATCCATTTTAAATTTAAATAACTGAAGACTTGTACATTACTGGATATTATGTGTTTTACAAAGACTCATATTCGAACTAGGAACTGGTGTCGTTTGGCTAATATCTATACATGGGCTGCGTTCTTCTTGCTTACCTTCTTGCTTTCAAGAAATTCACACTTAAAATATTCAGTTACTGTCAGTTTACACATTTACCGCAAACATTCAGAGCTTTAGATCAACTCAGCTGTGTGCTATTGTTCGTATGAAAATTCCTGTCCCGGGGTGAAAATTGCCTATTCACATATTGATACTTCGGCTAGTCTATCACAAAAGGAGAGAGAGGATACACCTTGAAGCATTCATCTACTTGGTCGAAGATCATTGAGAATGACTTTGTCTTTGTTGCAATTTGAAAGCCTCCATAAATTTGCATCAACACCCAGACTACACGACCTCAGTAATATTTTATTGTTATTGACTGTTAACAGTAGAAATCTACGAAGACTATCACCGGATGCTGCCGAAAATGCTATTCGACATGAGAGGAATCATCAAACTAGCGTATATTTCTACATATGAGGCTCACCTATAGATAAGACGAGAACCAAAGTCTAGTTTCGTGGTATCCGTAGTATAAGACGACTGACTGGGTCCAATATGACAAAAATGTAAATGACGATGTTTATGCTGAGCCCATTTGCTGCAGATGCTGAGGATCTTAGTAAATTTGAAGGGCTTTAATTATGTATGTGGCTGTCTTTTTTTAAATGTGTAATGAGGACTACAGATTTTATGTTATCTTAAATGTTTTGTTGCCTAACACCGAAAAATTAATACCCTATAATGTATGTTATTGAAACAAAGTTTGCATGTTATGCTAAATGTTTTTTGTTTGTTATTTAACACCACAATTTTAATGAATTTTAATTGGAAATATAGATTGTATTTTATCCTAAATGTTATTTAACAGAAGGCGCGTTTTTATATATAAAAATATGGTACAATCATATTTATTCATTCAAACGACAAAAATTTTGTTCTGAAAAGAAACTTGCTGAATACGTCTGGAAATTGAATGAAAAGTACCAGAAATCTGGACGTATGACGGTGCATACTGAAAAAGTGAAAACGGAGTAGATTGTTCCAAGAGGAAATGTTGACTATCGTGACACATCCGGACAGAAAAGATATAATAAACGAAGTAGTATTTTATAAAATGCATTTGAGTTCACTGAAAACCATTTTGGAATTTACCATTTCTAGCATCCACCTTGCATTAGGAACACTTGTTTAAAAACATCTTAACCACAACGTTTAATTTTAGAATAATTATAGTATACACGTTTGCGGGTGTTTGCAAATATCAACATCGCAACAATTACATTTACATGAAATTTGTCTTTGCAAGGAATCCCTGATGATGATCCCGGGAGGAGATCGAAAGTACTTAGGTTAACAAAAAATCTGACGCCCTCCTTGATAAATTCCATCATTAAGAATATAATTAGTATGGTAGAATAGAGTATTATATATATATATATATATATATATATATATATATATATATATATATATATATATATATATATATATATTATGTCTACATTATTTAATGAAAGATGCGTTTCGTCCTTCAGGACTTCATCGAATGAAAAAAAGTAAAAAGTAAATAAATAATTAAAATGAAAAAAATTTAAATAAAATTCTAAAATCCCCAGCACACGTCACAAGTAAAATTTTTCACTTTGTCATAACCTTTCCCCAATATATATATATATATATATATATATATATATATATATATATATATATATATATATATATATATATATATATATATATATATATATATATATATATATATATATATATATATATATATATATATATATATATGCCTATTATTTTTTCTTTATCTGTCTATATATATATATATATATATATATATATATATATATATATATATATATATATATATATATATATATATATATACTGGGGAAAGGTTTTATTTGTGCTGGAGGGTTTTTTTTTGGACTCTGAACTTTCGTTCTAGACGATTATTTTCGCCGGAAGTATATGTTCATTCTTGTTTTACCCTTTTTCCCTTGGATATTAGTTTGTTCATTTACAAGCTAAAAAACCTAAGCTTTTGCCGGGTGAGTATAGCTGCTTATATTTTAATAAGATTATATATATATATATATATATATATATATATATATATATATATATATATATATATATATATCATTCGTTTGACTTTTGTAATCGTGAGGGGATCTGAAAGGAAGCCACACTGAATCTCCTCTACAACGGTCTATCAACGGCAGTAATTCTGGTATAGTCATAATTGTCCATTGTTTTACATTGTCTAACCAGTTTTTGCATTGGGGTCCTCTGCTACGTCCACCTTCAACAATGCCTTGCATAATCGTCTTGCACAAGCTGTCGGGCCTTGTAACATC